TGAAATTTTTTTAAAAATGCAATGTTAGATAGATACTTACTTTTAAAAATAAAAACCGTTCATCGGGTGCTTCGTCGATAAACGTTTTTATTTGTTCAGGTGAAAATATTTTTGCTTTTTTTCCAACATATCCTTCGGACTTTCGCTTTAATAAAGCTTGTAGTTTCTTATATTTAGAAATGTTTATATTATGGTTTATATTTACCAACGTTTTTATTATTGAATAATGTGTCCATGTACTAGATGATTTCATAGTTTCCATCAATTCTTGAAAATAAGCAATTAAAACATTTTCGGAGAATGTCGAAATATTATTTGTATTTCTCCAGTCCATAAACCGTTGATAAAGTTTTTCGTACACTTTCTTAGATTTTTGGGGTAAAATATTTTGAACTGCATTTTCTGCTTTCTCCGATATGTGTGGAGGAGTCGATGGTAATTCTTCTATATCGCTGATATCAGACATTTTGATAAATTATCGAAGTTTAGCTAGGTATCTACGAAAATTTAATACGTACTGATTTTGACATCTAAAATAATTACATAGGAACCTAGGATAAACGTCAAATGCACAGCATGCTTGATTGAAAAATTATGGGTTTCTATTGATTAAAAATCTGTATCGTAATGAAAAATCTGTATCGTAATGGGTATCATTATGAAACGGATTATGGGCATATAAGTGCATTGTTATAATACGGGTGTAGAAAAAGATACTTATATAATAGATTTCAGAGACCAATTCATCCTTACAAGCTGTTTTATTAAAATACTCATCTATAGTTGGTTCCAGATCTATTAATAAATTAAAAATTTTCTTTTTGAAAATTATTATATTTGTAATTGTTCTTATATCAGCAGGCAATTTATTGTGGTGTAAATGTAACATAAATGTGAAATTTTTTCAATACTTTACAGGGCAATTTGGTAAAGTGGAGTAATTCATATTCTCTCAGGAATTAGTTCTATTGTATCAAGAATCAGAAGTTTTTCAAGACACTCGTATTTTAAACATACACTTAGGACATATAAATACCAATTTATGCACTATTATTGAAATCCCACACATTGTGTATGGAGCAGTTAGTTATAAAGGGTGACTACCACTATTTCATCCTCAACTTTATTTTTATTCCATTTTAAAATTTTGTTGAAAATTAATAATCTCTAAGTTATTAAGGAAAAAAGAACTCAAGCCGTTTCAGTTTGTTTAAATGCAGAATTATTCATATAAAGTCAATTCAGGACCAAAATATTTTATTTAGATATTACATCTAAAAACAATTTAAATCATAAGTGAGAGAAATTATTACCTCTTGAGCACACTTGGAACCATGTTGTAAAAATCCATGAATAGCTGTAATAAGAGCTCCTCCCTTTTTGTCACTACATTGTTCCGAAATGTAGGCCAGCCATTCAAATCTTGAACGATGCTCATGCATAACATACAGAGCCCTTTTCAAAGTCATTTCGGAATTGTCTTTACAACTTTCTCTATTCATCTAAAAAAATCAATTTAGTAAAAAAGGTTTGCCAAAATACAAGATATTAATAATTATTTTTTCAATACAATATGTTTATTATTATGTTTATGCAATCGCTTATAGCAATTGCAAAAAACGTCACTTTACCACTGTGTAAAAATCGTTTGTTTTAGAGGTTGCTTCTATCATGAATGCATACTGTACTCTCCACCACATCTCCATCAAGTTTATTGACAATCTGTCTATGTTTCCTATGTGTTTGTCATTAATACTTACGTTTAGAATTACAGACACAACAGAGTTCCAAAGCCCTACCACATGTCTTAAATGTATAAATATACAGTGTCTCACGGTAACGGCCCATTAGAATTATTTCAACTTCAACTACTTCGATTTGAATTTTGAAAATTTGGGATACCGGGTTTTCGGGCATGCCCTTCTCAACTAAACTAATGGCGTCCATATACCGGTTATACTGGGAGTCACCATCTACTTGCTTATTCTAAAAAACCCGACTTATTTTGGTAGATAGGCCCCCAAACGACTAACGAAGCGCCAAAAGTGTAAGAAATTTTTTTTATAAATTCTTGCCACTGTAAATTGAAAAGTAAAGAGAACGTAAAAATGAAAATTGAATCTTTTATAGAAATGGGATTTTCCCTGGTCAAAAAATAACACAAATTTTATTATTTTGCCCTATACCCCTATAAACAGTGTACCTACAGGAAAGAGAGAAATAAATAAGTATATATTCCAAACCGTAAGCCCTTTAAACTAATAACTCCTTTATCTATAAGCCGTGGGCTTGGACGAAAAATGAGAGAAATTAATATCTTCCAAACTGTAAGTCTTTTAACCTCATAATAACCCTTTACCCTATAGCCGTATAAGTTATGTGCTCGGAAGAAAAAATGAGAATATAAATAATAACCGAGAGCTCTAACATTTTTCAAAGCACTCGGACTATGTCCAAACTATTATTATTGATTTCCTGTAACCTATATCCTGGGTCCATAGGTTTAAGTTTATTACCTATATTAATATAATTTTATATAAGTTTAAAACCAATAATAGTTTGAACGTAGTCTATAGAGCTATAGTGTAAATAAAATCTGTGAAAACGGCTTGAGTACTGCAGTGGTATGTATACTTATATTCCTGCAGATAGCGGCATAGCGTTTGAAATGAGCTTTAATTTGAACTGCAAATTCGTAGATTGTACTGGAGCCGGAGAAACGACAATTCAAAGTCACCTATCCCAATGTTTTTTTCTGTTAAAAAATTTATTTAAAAACGGAATAAGTACTGCAAAGGTATATAGGTATAGGTAAGTATATTTAAAGTATATTTTTAATATTTTAAATATGGTGCTTGAAATAACTAATAAGCTTTAATTTGAGCTGCAAATAGTTGCCTTGCAAGCTCGATCCAGATGACAAAATGAAAATAGCTTCTGTCATGTCTGCCGCGTTTGCGCGTTGCATGCTGCGTCAGTGAGACAGAATCAATAATTTATAAATTAAAATTTGAATGAAATTTTTATTACATAAAAATCGTAAAGTCAAACTTATTTCAGCAAAGGTAATCACCTTGTAAAGAAACTTGCAGGTATAAATGCAATAAAATAATACATGAAGAAACTAGAAAAGTCATTTTTGACGAATTCTGGAACATTGGAGATCATACTCGGCAGTGAGATTTTCTTTTAAGGTGCATGACACAATGAGAATAAGAGCGGGCTACTGTACATAATAAATATTCCAGAAGGAATTTCTGTCGCAATTATAAGTTTGTCATTGACAATAATGAGAAACAAATTTGCAAAACGATGTTCTTAAATACCCTTGCAATTTCTGAAACAGTTGTAAGCACCGCTTTGCAAAAAATTGGTGAAGGTGATACTGTAGAACGGGACAGAAGAGAAAAACACAACACTAGACCGCATAAAAACCCGGATGCTCTAATAAAAAACATTATGGAACACAAAAAACTTTTTCCACTTATGCCTTCTTAATATACAAGAAAAAACTCAAAACGAATGTACTTGGAAGAAGGTTTGAGTATTTCACGAATGCACAGAATGTATTTAGAATATGCAAAACAACAAAAATGGGATGCAGTAGCTACACTCAGACAATACAGGGATACTCTTAATTCGAAATTTAATATGTGTAGCTTTCTTTAAGCCAAGAAAAGATCACTATTCCGTGTGTAGTGCCTATGGGAATATAGATCCCGAGAAGAGAACAGAAAAAATGGAAGATGATTATAATAATCATAATTTAAACAAAAATGTGGTTCGAAATCTGAAAGACATTGATAAAGAATTGTCGAAAAATGACAAATCTCTAATAACAGCATGCTTTGATTTGCAGAAGCTGTTAGTAAGACCCAAGTCAGAAGTCAGCGATTTGTAATATAAAAGTAAAATCGCAACATACAACTTTACAATTTATGATTTAGGTAGCAATCAAGGCTATTGCTATGTATGGCTATGGCATGAGCAAATATCGAAGAGAGGACCGGATGAAATTGGAAGTTGTTTATGGATCTTTTTAAAGTGTTAAAGAAAATGGGATACGAAAGGTTATTCTTTATTCCGACAATTGCGGTGGTCAAAACCGTAATCGTTTTGTTTTTGCGATGTTTGCTTATGCATCAATGACTTTGGATTTGGACACCATTTTCTTGAAATTGGCCACACTCAGAATAAAAATGACAGCATGCATGCTGTGATTGAAGTTGCAAAAAAACGTCACTCTGCTATATACACTCCTGATAGTCCTGATCAGTGGATTAGTCTAATAAAAATGGCACTGCTCTACAGTACAAAGTAAAAGAAATGTCTCAAGAAGATTTTGTAACTTTTAAACCAATGGTAAAGAAACAGAATTGGAAAAAAGATATTACTGGAGAGGCTGTAAAAATTAGCAAAATCAGAGAAGTCCACTGGAATCCAAAGTTTTCCAATAAAGTATTTTTTGTGTATAATTTTGGAGAAAATCATAAAGAACTAGACTTACAAACAAAAAATTGATGGTAAAAAATTAAGTGGTCTTTTGGGTCTGTGTAATGCTAATTTGATACCACCCATGTATCATGGATTTTACAACTTTCTTCGACCTGCTAGTAAGACTGCCCACCAGGAAGAAAGTAATATTGACCAAGAAGATGACTGACTGAATCGTAATAAATTTTCCTTTTATGTCATTATTGATTATTAACAAATATTTTTTTTATCTAAAAATAGAAAATGTTTAATTTTTCTGTACCTTATTAGTGTAGCAAGTTGTTTCTCAGTAAAAATTTTGGCCACGAAAACTGTAGTAACTCATTCAAAATCCATTTTTTTCTTATCCTAAACTATTTTATTTAGATCATCAATAATTAATTAAGACCTAAACAATAATTACTTTGTTAAAGAAGAACAAGTTAGCTCTTGTAATAAAAAAAATAACGAACATTATTATTTTCTCAACTATTCAAATGCAATTATCTCAGTACATATAACCAAATTTGAGATATGACAGTTTTCCTTGGGAGAGTCGATATACACCCTAATAGCAGACAAAACCAAATAGGCCCCGATTTCGTTTTTTCCCCCGAATGAGCCAGACCGGGCCTGGAACATGTAGTTTTTAATGAGACATATCCAAAGCTACCAATGAGCAGAAAAAAGTTAAGAAGAATTTTAGCAAATCAATTAGAGTATGGTCGAATTTGTGCAGAAAGAATTTTACCAAAACCAATAACTTCAAATGAAGATAATGTAATAAATGTGCTAGCCTATTTTAATGTTCATCCAGAATCCTCAACTCGTGCCGCAGAGTATGATTTAGGCATTTCACGAGCGTCCATTCACAGGATGCTAAGAACTAATGATATGCATCCATACAAATTTAAGCTACTTTCTGCTTCATCTGAGTGACGCCGTGCAACGTGTACAATTTTGTGAAACGATGTTAGTGCGATATCGAGAAGATCCACAATTTTTGCAACATATTATATGGACAGACGAGTCAAAATTTACGAGAGAAGCTATTTTTAATAGACATAATACTCATTTGTGGTTATTGAAAATCCTCATATTATCCGGGAAAGAAACTTTCAATATAAATTTAGCATAAGTGTTTTTTTTGTCTAATTAAAGATAACCAAATTTCTTATCTATCTACGAAGAAAATTTAAATGCAGACAGGTATTCAATATTTTGCAAACGGTTGTGGCAGATTTTCTAGATGATATACCTTTAGACCAACTAAGGAAGTACTGATATCAATTAGACGGGGCTCCACCTTACTGTCACAATCAAATCGATCAACAGCTGACTGAAATGTTTGAAGATAGATGGATAAGACGCCTAGGACCGTGGAATTGGTCAGTGAGGTCTCCCGACCTCACTCCATTAGATTTTTGTTTGGGGAGTAATAAAGCAAAAAGTTTATTCTACACCCGTTGCTTCAAAAGAGGATTTGATTGCTCGAATACGAAGAGCGTTTCATGAATTGCCTGCAGCTGAAATAGCAAAAGCGGTGACTGATGGTGTTATTTCTAGAATCCACAAGTGCTTAGCTGTTAATGGGGATCATATTGAACACTTATGACTTTTTTTAAGTCATTTTTTTTATCTTAGTGCATTATTATTATCAACATACATAATTAAAATTGTGTATTACTATGTATGAAGTTGATTTTTTAGAATTCTTAACTTTATTCTGCTCATTGGTGGAAAATTGGGATATGTCTCTTTAAAACCTGTAAATATTCTGCTTAGGCCCGGTACTTTGAGTCTCGGTTAAGACTCGATTAACTAATCAGGCGATTGTACTTATATCATTATATGTACAGTCTAATCGCCTGATCAATTAATCAAGCTTTAACCGAGACTCAAAGTACCGGGCCTTAGAATCCTATTGCAACGTCTGTGAATAAATAATAAATAACTGATGACAGTTTAGTTGTTTGTTTTGAAGTTTTGCTAAAAACTCCACAGCTATCCTCGCAAGAAATTATATGATTTTAGGTGATTACACAAAAAATAGTAGATGATAACTTAAAAACTAGAAGAGATAGATATAGGGAACCCTGATACCGTTCAAAAGAGAATAAAATTGTGTATCAGAATATAGAAAAACATACAGGGTGTTTCTTTTAAAAAAACCGACTTATGAAGGTTTGAAGTTAACTAAACACGGCATTAAATTTCTAGCACCTTGTATGCAATTAAGCCACTTTGAAAGTATAGATGGGAAGCTTAGGGATCTAGCTATCCCCCCTATAAATATTGTTGCTTTATCTTTCTTACTATAAAATACATACAGTTTGAAGCTAGTCACTATTTCTCTCCATTTTTTTGAAAAAAATTAAATATCTCGAAAACGGTTCATTTTAGGAATAGGGAAACAAAAGTCCACCTAAAATAACAAGTAGAATCCAAAATTGCAATAATATGTAGGGTGTTCCATTTAAAATAAGCAAGTTAATGGCGACTTCCAGTATAACCGGAAGTGGTACGTGGACGCTATTATTTTAGTTGAGAAGGGCATGCCCAAAAACCTGGTATCCCAAATTTTCAAAATTCGAAATAATTCTAATGGGCCATCACCGTGAGACACCCTGTATACAATGTGCTCTATGATTATGTACTGAAGAGGAAAAACTCTTTTTTTTTGTAATTTTTTAATAAAATGTCTATCAAAATTATTGATTTTTTCTAAAATGTTCAATAGTTTCTTGATTTTATATACAGGGTGTTCAATTTTAGAAAAATTTAAAAAAATAGCTACAAGCAAAATATCTTTTTGAAATATACTGCTACTGCGGGATATTATTAGAAATTCTAAGATCGCAAATATGAATTTCCGATTATTTTGCAGAAAAAAATTATATCAATTCATATCAATTAGACAGCTAAAAACTTTTATAATTACTGCAATTCCATTGAACAGTTTCTACTACTATCATATTATGGTAATCATAACTGTATCTACGCTAAGGGTCCGTTCTGTAATTAACTTTTCAGTAGAATTTTAGTGAAATGCACTAAATATTTTTGTTAAGAGGAGTTAGCAACCTGCTAGGGAAATCAGTGAACAAAACTAGTGAAGAATGAACACACCGTATTTTGCATCAGAGAGTTGATCTGTGGTCTATCACTAATGTCAGTTAACAAATTTCAAACTTTCGGAGCAATCATTTACATAAAAATGCGAACTAATTTTCCAGTTTTTCTATAGCCGCCTACCCCTCAACAAAAATTTTAATGCATTTTACTGAAAGCTACTAAAGCTAATTACAGAACAGACCCTAAATAACACGAAATAAAGTAATTATTTTTTTTCAAATCAACTGAAACTTCATATTTGCAACTTTCTTAGAATAACAATGAAATTTCTTAGTGATACTTTTCATAATTGCCAAATATTGTGGTAGGTACTTTTTATAAACAAAAACAATATCTCATAAACATTCAAATAAAAAAAAAATTAATCTTTGAACACAATCGAGAGACACAGCATATTATTTAAAATCATCTTGATGTCAAAATTACAACAGCCAAAATATATTTCAAGACCAAATGCAACAAAATACAACAAAACATATTTTACTTACACTCGCCTGTAAAAGTGCCACTGTTTTATAGTAATCAGATAATTCATCACTTAAGGTAGCAATAAGGGCTTGACAAATAATACCGCTTTGTTTTTCATTATCTTCAATATACTGTTTAAGTTGTTTATGTAAGAAACTCATACCAGTAAGTCTTTCTAACAGTCCACGTTGAATAGGAGTTAGAAGCTTACCAGCTTTAGGATCTATAGTGAAACCTAAACCACCAGGTTCTTTTCTCAAAAATTTTCCCTCAATTCCCTGAAGTGAGTATATAACATCTTGCAATAAATCTTGTTCAGTAACGGTTGCTAAATCTAAATCATGATTTAATATATTAATTATGCTTTACAGCTACGACTAACTTACTTGACAGTTTAGAGGAAGGAGGAATATCACTTTTAGACCAAGTAACAGAAGATAACGTGGTTGTTTGTGATTGTGCCCTTATAATATTTGATTGCGAGTTGTTACTAAATTTTTTCTTTTCTCGTATATCAAAAATATGCCTAACACTTTCCTGTGATGAAGAACTTGTCATAGCTAACTGTAACTGTGACTTATTCTTAAATATTTGCGACTGTGTACTGAATTTATCAAGTTCTTTCGTCATATGCCATACTGGTACATCTTTTTGAGTCTTTGCTAGATTGAAAATAAATGTTAAAGTTGCACAGCGATGTTGCAAAATACTCTGAAATTATTAAAAAATAATTATTCTCATTAAAAACAGGTATTAACAACTTACTGATTTACAAATATTTGAATATATCAATTCAAATTGATCTATTTTTTCTTTTGACTGTAGAAGTTGTGTTATCTGTGTAACGATATATGCTTCATCACATGGAATATTCTTTGACACAGAAGAAGAAAACGACAAGAAGCTAAAAGCCATTTTATACAATTTTGCTGCTAAAGCTAAAATAATTCAAAATCTTTTTAATTCAGAATATTTAAAAATATTAAAAGCTATTCTCATACCTTGATCATTTTTTGAAACATGATTACAAAGTTTTAATACCAATTCTGATATTCCAGCACTTTCAAAGTTATCAGTAACATCCATTTTCAATATATGTCTTTTTTATTTTATAATCATATCATATTAGTTCCATAAAAATAATTTAAAACGTTATTGACAAATGTCAATTCAAACTAAAATTTTGAATGTTGACAAATGACAAATGACATTGAAAAACTTAAGGAATACTATTTCTATGGCCGCGTCACATACTTCTATTATGTGGGCCGCNTGTTATCTTCCAAAATTGTTATAATTTCAAGTTATCTACGGTTAGTGCTGTCGAAATTCATCGAATCAGAACTGCTAGGGGTTGGTCAACTAGCCGCAGCTTCCTGTAGACAACGACCCAATAACTTTCATAATAATTCATTGAAATCTATCATTTTTATTTTAATTTCAAATTTGCACCCTGGAATTTTTTTTATTATTTAGCCTTAGTTGCAAAATGAAATAAATATACGACGCACGAGCGTGATATATTATTACATATTCGGAAAGCTTATGAAAAGAGCTTTAAGTTAAAAAAAAAAACGTCAAGATTCGTTGAAAAAACAACGGAGTTACAGACTATTAAATATATTATTTTCAAGCGAATTTCGTTTATTTAAAGGCATGACTATGAATATTATCGTCATTTTCTTCGGATTCGCTGTCGTTTGCTTCCCCCACCCTTCCGCCGCGCCACGGCTCGCCGAAAATCAAGCGACCCACTGACTTTTGACAATATTTCTTATGCACTTAACATACTTAACATACCACAAATAAAATATTTTTATCTGGGAAAGCACTTGGGTTGCCGGTTATGACAGTATTTTTTTTGCCGCTACCAACCTAATTTGTTTAACAATAGGCCGTCAACTTTGACAGTCTGTAACTCCGTTGTTTTTCAACGAATCTTGACGATATTTTTTGTAACTTAAAACTGTTTTCATAAGCTTAATTAATAATAATATATGTATAACTACATCACGCTCGTGCGTCGTATATTTCATTTTGCAACTAAGGCTAAAATATAAAAAAAATCCAGGTTGCAAATTTGAAATTAAAAAAAAGAAAATGATAGATTTAAATGTATTATTATGAAATCTACCATGAAAAAAATCAGTGCGATTGTGGAAGCTCCTCGGGATCGTCCAGACTAATAATTAGTTAATTTGTTTATAAGGCCATAACTTGTAAACTATTCCACTTACCGATTCCAGATTTCGTGTGAGTTATTAGACAGTGATGGTAATAATGACGCACTTTATAAAAATGTTTAATTTAAAAGTCATAAATAAACTTCTTCTGTTTATAACTTTTGATCTAATTAATATTTTTTTACGCTCGAGGGCTAGCTTTGTAGGTCTTTTGAAGACGAAAAAAAAGTACTGTACTGTTTTCTCGTGGAAACAAACGGAAAAAAGTTATAAGCGAAAAACATGAATTTACATAAAATTTATACAATTAACCACCCTGTAAACAATGACTGTGGACTAATATGTTATTATACATAATATTTAGCATCTATAGTGATAAATTCAGCTTGCCGAGACACAAAGTCGCGAAATGGTCATTTCCTGGCCTTATTTTCCTGGCCTATAAGACCTCAACTATCCCTTAACTCGAATTATCAGTATTTTTCGCGATTTTGATGTAATCTAGTCTAAGAAGACACAAAACCATCATCGAAAACCGTTCATGAAATATCAAATGGAGGGGGCATAACCATTTTTATGAATATTTTTCAAAATTTCTTTGTCGTATCATCTGAAAGCTATCTACAAACCTCATAACTAATAAAATGTAACTCTTTACTGAGCTTAATAGATAACGTTTCTTTTGATATCTACAAGAAGGGCCCGAAATCTAAATTCCATTTTACGATCACTTACCAGGAGATGCTCCATTGGTAAAACCCCAATTCGTACCTCCTATGAACATGTAGATGTTGAAGGAAGCTGGGAATTCCAAAATACGAGTCAAGACCTCCAATACGGTGCTAGTTTCAGTAGTATGATGAGCATTGGTCCAATAATCAAACCATCCAACCCAGAATTCCATAGCAAGAACAGGCCTGCAGGTAAAGAAGCGAAATATTATTCTTGCTTCTAGTAAATCATCATTATATAATAGCACCTACTTATTTGGTTGTCTTTTCAAGATCTTGTTGAACTGCTCCTCAGGTTCGGCTTTCAAGTTGACAGTCTGGAAGACTCCATCTATGGTGCCTTCTGTTCCTTGCACTTTCCAGCTGTCCGACGTTAACAACAGCTCCACTATGTCATTATCTAAAAAGATCTGGTGGAGGGACTCAAGATATGCCTTTTCTCTAGGCCATGCGGTTCCATATTCGTTTTCTATTTGGAAAGCAATGACAGAGCCTCCTTTTGTGAACTGATGTTTGTTTACGACAGCAAACAGCTTTTCCAAGAACCTGAAAAGAATCTGATTGTAAACGCAAAGAAAAAGGGGTACAAATGTTTGACTGGACATGTAGTAATGCACATTTGTTATTAGCAGAATAAAGAAAAGAATAAAAGTCCTTGAAAACTATTTTTTGGCACCTATATTTTTTATTTTTGAAACCCCTAACCTCTGTTCTTAAATATCTAACCTCAAATCCAAGAAATGTGATCTAGAAAGTCAAACGAAGGATATTTTCCAAACCAAGGAATGCGACTCCTTGAAAACTCTATTCTGGAGCTAATATTTTAAATTTCTGAAGCCTCAAACCTAAGTTACGTCCGTAAAAACCTAATCTCAAACCCTTAAAATTTATTCTCAAATCCACAAAAAATAGGGGGATATTTAGATAGATAAAATTTCTTTCGATAAATTATACTAATTTCAACAATGGTCAACTCAAAATCTATATTATTTACCGAAATTATTCGATAGACTGCCATTTCTTAATCTTTAGCTCTTAAGACTTAAGCCCTTTTACCGTGTCAAAATAGCAGTCCTTAAAACGTTGTTTTTCTGCATTTTTATTTTTATTTATTTATTTCTTTTTTCCTTTTGGTTTTCTTGTTTGTTTTTGTTTTTTTCTACTTCTAATTTTTATTAATGTCACAAAGATTTTCATTTTATTTTTAAATACTGAATTATTATCTTTGGTGTTGAGGCTGGTGGGAGCCACACAAAAAAAAGTTGTCTATACTTTACAGTATTTATGCCTCATGCTCACGAATCCGGTGTCAGAATTAGTCATTACAGGCTGCGGAAAACATAGCCCTCCGCACGGCCACCGACGCGCCATGGTACGTAAGAAACACTGACATATTACGAGACTTACAATACACAAACGCTACACAGACAATAAGACAAAACTCGGAGAAACGGTTTGACGTTGCCGCTAGACATGACAATCTCCTCCTCAGGCAAGCCGTTGACTACGTACCCGATGTGACCGACCAACACAAAAGACCTGGACACCAACTTTTTGACCCTGGGTGACCACCCTAACGACCCCCCCTGCCCGCTAACCTTTTCTGTTTCAGAGACAGCCAGGATCAAGAAACGAAGACAACGACACACACACACACACATACACACCCCCCATATCCTCCTTACCCCTCCCCTCCCGCGCTAGCCTAAGGGCCACCTTAGCAAAGCGCATCCCAGGCTGCATAGCCGCACTACCCTACCCAACCATACCACACATAAACATGACACTACCCCCGGGGTTTACACAGACGAGCCGGCGAAGCAAGAAGAGCGCCAGAAGAAAGGGCCCTAGCCGGCGGGGCCCAGCCAGGACAAAAGGAGGTCCCACAAAGCGCCTACACCGGCCGCATTTGCGGTCGGGGTAGACGACGGATGGGGCCCACCTACGAAGGCTGTCCAGGCCTACACGAGATGAGGCAGGATAAAGAGGGATAATCCCCCTCGATCCCAAATCATTGAGG